CGGCCTCCTCCGAGCGTAGCTCGGCAGCAGCCCCCTCCGAGACTCAGTCTTCATGGGCACAGCTTTTACCTTGATGAGGTATCGGACGAGGTGCGTTGCGTGTCATGCTTTGCTGGGGCGTGGACCCCCAGCACGCTGACCCACTTGTGTAATGGCCCCGCCAAATTTTGTCGGCCCACCGCCCTCTCGGCCCTTAAGGGCCAGGAGTGGTGCCGTGTTCGTGTTCGGGCGAGGCCTGTGAAGGCTGCTGCGGTGGCTGAGGCAGACCAGGCCCTTGTGGCTGCTGGCCTGCTCCCGCCGCCTCCCTTGCCTGGAAACTCCGCGGGGAATGAGGGTGATGCGGCCATCCGTGAATTCGCCGACCGTGGTCACACGATTGAAAGGTACGGGTGTGTTATGATCTGCTCTTTGTGTGCTGGATTTGTTGTGCTACCGCATGGAGTTCCGCGGTCGCTCCAGAACACTTGTCTGGGGGCGTCCAAGGTGCCATCCACGCGGGACAAGCAGCTTCGGAAGCTCTCAGAGGCCTCGAGAGGCCTCCATCCGACCACGGGTGTGAGCCTCGGGGAGCCTCTCCCTGCTGCCCCCTCTTCTCCGTCTCCCCCTAGCCCGTCTCTCTGCTCTGTACAGAGGGCCCTCCGATTTGAGGAGGCTGCTCTCTCGGGGGTGGGAGTGGCGGCGGTGAAGCGGGTGGGGGGGGGGTTCGCGGGGGAAGGTGAGCTCTGATGGGTCTGATTAATTAATGAGGTCGGCCATGACGACGGGTGTCCCATGGTCTCGGCCGACGCTGCTGCCACCACTGGGGGCAGCCTTCGCCTCAGCCTGTGGGTGTCCGTTACCCTGCGGACGCTCTCCAGCCGGCGCCCACCTCCTCCTTCTGTTCTTCTTCTTCCTCCTCCTCCTCCTCCTCGTCCTCTTCCTCAGCTTCCTCCTCCTCCTCCTCGCCTTCTTCCTACTTCTCCTTCCTCCTCCTCCTCCTCCTCCTCCTCCTCCTCCTCCTCCTCCTCCTCCTCGTCGGTCTTCTCCTCTTCCTCTTCCTCCTCTTTCTCCTCCAACTCCTCCTCCTCCTCCTGTTCTTCCTCCTTTTCCTCCTCCTCCTCCTGCTCCTGTTCCTCCTCTTCCTCGTCCTCCTCCCCCTCCTCCTCCTCCTCACCTCGTCTTCTGCTGCTGCTGCTGCTGCTGCTGCTGATGCTGCTCCTTCTCCTCCTCCTCCTCCTCCTCCTCCTCCTCCTCCTCCTCCTCCTCCTCCTCCTCCTCCTCCTCCTCCTCCTCCCTCCTCCTCCTCCTCCCTCCTCCTCCTCCCTTCTTCCCCGGTCGTCGTCTTCGCCGTCGTCTTCCTCATGCGGAGGAGTGGTGAGGATACTCAGGAATATGCTTGTGAACGTTCGGGGGGCGCGTGTCCATACGTATCCCTTGTGAGCGTTCGGAGAGCTCGCCTGTACTACATTTGATCGCGATGATGCTGCAAGTTCTTGCGTAACTCTTCCCTTTCACGCGCTTCCCGTTCATGTCAGGAAAGGTGTTCCTAAGGTTTTTGACGGATTTTGACATTTCCTTCTTTTCGGCCTTCCGACGGCCCGAGACGGCCCAAGAGCCCCCAAAGATCGCCCAAGAACGGCCCAAGAGGGCCCCAAGACGCCCCCAAGACGGCACAGGAGGCCTTTAAGACGCCCAAGATGGCCTCCAAGACGGCCCTGGAGCATTCCAAGAGGGCCCCAAGTCGGCCCATAGAGGCCCCCCAAACGGTTTCCGACGGCGTCAGACGGACCAGGAGCCCACCAAGACGGCCGAACATGGCCCTAAGATGGCCCAAGACGGCCCAAGAGGCCTCCAAGAGAACCTCCAGGAAGGCCCGAAAAGGCCAAAATCATGGATTTCACATGAATTGTTGAAGGATTGGACATTTGTTTGTTTTCAGCCTTCCGACGGCCCGAGACGGCCCAAGTGCCCCCAAAGATCGCCCAAGAGGCCCCAGACACGGACCCAAGAGGCCCCCTAGACGGCCCAAGAGGTCTCCAAGATGCTCAAGATGGCCTCCAAGACGGCCCAAGAGCCCTCCAAGACGTCCTCCAAGAAGGCCCGAAAGGGTCAAAATGGCCTCCAGACGGCCAAGATGACCTTCAAGATGCCCACGTGCTCCCCGAAGGCTTCCCAAACCGATTCGGGGAACACGTGGTCCGATAGCTTGGCGGGTCTGGCCTCAACGTTCGGCCACATAGGCGCTTCCAAAAAGGCAGGGGGCGGCGGTGATTCGCCGTAGGCGTCTTCGATAGACCGTTGTGTTAGGTGCCGCCCGTTGTTGCGCCATCGTGGTCAACGCTGCCAGGGCGCCAGTCCAGCTCCGAATCCTCGCATACGAGCTCACAACAACTCCGCAGACGGCGGGATCAGCCCAGAGCTCCGCGCCCACCGAGCCGTCCCAGATGGCGCACACGCGCGCCCAGCATCCTCCAGCGTAGAGCGCATGGAGGGCAGACCTTCGTGACGTATCCGCGCCCACGGCTTCTAGAGTCTCGCCCCAGGCGCCCAGGGAGGGATATGGTTTCAGGTGCAACTTCGCACGTATCGACACGAGGAACACGCACGCATCGTCTGCGATCGGTTCCAGGCGCACACCACGATTGGGAAAGCCTCGGACACGACTCGCTTCAGGCGAGCGAGCGCGCGCACGCGCCCAGGCACGTCCGCGCCAACAGAGCCAGACTGAGCCCGCCCCCTGCAACTCCCGAGACCTCCCGAGACCTCCCGGGACCCCTGGAGATCTCCAAGAGAATCCCATCGCTCCTCCTTTCCCCTCCTCCCTCCCTCCAGAATCCCTCCCCCCAGGTCCCTCCCGCCCTCCACTGGGTAGATGTGGCCACGGCCTTTCCCGCTCAGGGGCCAGCACATGCCTACGTCCACCGCTGCCTGGGAATCCTGCGGCGCGGCTCTGGATCCCGTGGGCATCGATACAGTGCGTCTGGATCATGGGGATGCGCGGTGAGGATGCAAGGCCCGTGGACGCCCAACTTGAAGCAGAAGTTGGAAGCCCGTGGCCTTGGGCTGAGGGGGCCGAGGGTTCAGGGAGATGCCAGGCTACCCTTGGAGAACGACTCGGCTTCATGATCTTTTCCGACTGCGCCCCTGGCGGAAGGGTGCCTCGCAGGAGCGAGGGCCTCGAGCTTCCGCATCGCCAAGCCCGGGCAGAGCTGGTGGTGGCACAGCGGGGGGCATTGCCAGCGGCGGCGACGCCGAGGGCGCCGCGAGCGGGGCCAGCAAGACTGCACACTCCAGGTGCAGGGATCCTGCCAGCCATCGAGGCTGCAGACGAGCGGTCAGGGAGGAGGAGAAGCGGTGGCAGAGAGGAGCGGTCAGGGAGGAGCGGTCAGGGAGGAGGAGCACGAGCAGAGGGTGCATCAGCCTGTGGAGCAGTGGGAGGAGGAGGAGGAGGAGGAGGAGGAGGAGGACGGTCGACACGAACAGCAGGAGGAATGACGCTGACCCCATGGCTTGCGGCACGTATATCTATTGGCTTCGATGTTGCGGGTCCGACTGCTGTTTCCTAGAGCGTGGCCTGTCTCTCCCCGAAAGGATATTCGTATGTATATGCTTCGCGCCTGCAGTCAAGCTGTTGAAATCTAGGCAGCATCTGCGCACTACGTCTGCTTACCAGGCACCAGGATGATTAATTTGTGGACGTCGTTCTGGGTCTTAGGGCGCACCGTCTCGATGCGCAGCCATTCTGCACGGGGTGATCTTCGGAGTGTGTCTAGGATGCGAGGCGCCCAATGATCACTTCGAGTCTTTCGCAGACGCTCCCAAAGCTCCAGGAACCTCCCAAGCGGGGGAACAACATTTCTGGAACGGGGAAAAAGCGCCTTCACCAGAATGGAGATCGAACCCCCACTTTGGAGACTTTGTGTGACGGATTGTGGTCTTCAATCTCATCGTCCGCCTCCCACTGGGCCTCTCTTGAGCCGTGGGGCCATCAGAGGCGGATCCGGATTAACAACTGACCCCTGCCCTGGGCGCAAAATTGGTCGCCGGACACCTCCTGAGGTAGATCTTGACCAGCTCTCCCTCCCTGGATCGATCCTCGACGACCATGAAGCCCGAAACGGACCCCCGCGAGGCCGAAATCGACGAGACCCCTGCCCTGGGCGCAAAGATGGTCGCCTGACACCTCCTGGCGTCCATCCTGACCAGCTCTCCCCCCCTGGATCGATCTTCGACGACCATGAGGCCCAGAACGGACCCCCGCGCGGCCGAAATCGGCGAGAAGACCTCCAGCGCGCCTTGCTTGTCCGATCCTCGAGCCGCCCGCGGGAGCCCGCCCGCCCCTGCCGGATGCGAGGCAGGGACTTGTCCACACCCACCGCAATGGGGAACTGGTGCTCTCGGACCCCAGGGTGGGTGGGGGGGGGGGCATGGGTAACATTCGGGCCCCAGGGGGGCCCGAGCAAAAATCCACATCCACCGCCTGCCGAGGTACCCAGAGGTCGACTCCCTGGGCGTTGCTTCTGAATCATGCTCCGCCCCATCCAGGACCACGGCCCCGCAAACGGGGACTCTGATAAACCAGGACGTTGAGCACCCCCTGGAGAGACTGCAGCAATGGACCGAGACATCCCCCGACTCTTCGCTTCCTCCATCCCGAATTTGCAAAGTCCTGCTTTCCGGGGCCCTACCAAGTGGACGCAAGCATGGTCAATGACAACCTCCGCAGGCTCTGACAATCGAGGACGGGGAGGACGAGGAGGAAGTGGGAGTGAGTGAGGCGCTCCCCGAAGCGGATCCCTGACCTGTCCCATGAGGTCCCATGGGACTGAACGCCTCCCGTGGACCCCCCCGCCAAGATGGCCTGCAGCGAGCTTCCCGACAGGCACGGGGGCGCGCCGAAGGCGCGAAGGGGGGGAATCGCCGCGCGGCCGCGCGCCGCGCAGGAGGGCACTGTGACGTGCGATGCCCTCCGGGCGCCCGCCGCACCCGCAGGAGGAGCCCGCCCCTCCGCGCCCGGGCGCCTCCTCTGGGCTGTGCGCGTGGCCGCGGTTCACGAGCCACACGCCGTGGGCGCCTCCGCCCAGGTCGCCGCGGGGGGCGGATGGGGGTCGGCCAGGGTCGCCGTCGTCGCCGCCGCCGCCATCGTCGTCGGCGCCGTCGTCGGCGTCGCCGTTGTCGTCGTCGTTGGGAACGTCGTTGTTGTCGTCGGCGGGGGAGGCTCCTGGAGCTCTGGGGGCGACGGCGAGCCTGCCGAGGGCTGGACGAGAAGAAAAAGCCTGGTGCGACGCCCATCAAGGGGAAATTTCCTAATGCGTGGGCGCTTTGGCTGGCATTTGGCATTGGTTGGCGTTGGTTGAGGTTGTTTCGTATTGTTTGGCGTTGCTTGGCCTTGTTAGGCATTGTGTGGTAATGTCTCGTATTGATTGGCATTGCGTGGCGTGGCTTGGCATTGCTTGGCAATGCGTGGCGAGGCAGCAAGGAACAAAGACCAAGGAACCAAGGACCCAAGACCACGAATCAAGGAACCAAGACTAAGGAATCAAGGATCCAATACCAAGGAACCACGGCAGCCCCAGGAACCAAGACCAAGGAGCCCCTAGGAACCTCCCTGTCAAGAAACAGGACCGAGGAGCCTCGAGGAACCCCACCGCGACCATTCTGGTACCCACCTGTCTCCCCACTCATGTTCAGAACCCCCACAACAAAGCCTACTGGGGGAACCGTCGGAATTCTGCGCAGACTTCTGCGTTCGGCAACGGACCGACCGCCCTCCCCCGGCCTTCCGCCCTTTGCGAATCCCTTTTCTGGAGAGCGCGATGAGACAGCAACATTTGAATGCGCGTGCGCGCGACGCCGAATGAATGTGTAGATATTCATATCTGATACATAGATGTATACGTGTACTCGAGCCACGCGCGTACGCTTCGCGCGCGCTTAGGCTCTAGCCGCGCCCAAGGAACTCGCGTTGGAATATGCCCTTGAGGTATTTTCGGTGTCGGTGGTGACATCATTGTTGGCAATTCGACGTGAGGGTTCTGGCTGTAGAAATTGTTGGGCGCCTTCGATGCGCCTGGCGCCTTTCAGGATCCGTCCTGGGACCAGAGGAGGAGCTGAATGATGAAGGTGTGTGTGTGTGTGTTTGTGTTGGTGTGAGAGAGAGAGAGGTTGGCTTCCGAGGAGACGCCACCAAAAACGACCATGTTGCATCGAGGTCCAACGTTCTTTCCAGGCTATGTTTGTTGCTAACGCCCAGGAAGGACCCAGGAAAGCGCGCAAGGCAGCCACGAGGAGGGCCCAGGGTAGCCCAAGAGACGATGCCCGAGAGGCGCTAAAGGAGCTTGGCAAAATCAGTCTGGAAGTCTGTTTGGATAACTTGGGGCCTTAGAGGGCGCCCTTGGAGGGCTGTGTGAGAATGTGTGTGGTCTCTTGGACGGCATCTCGGAGGTCGTCTGATATTATATGTGGAGCCTCTATGTGGGCCTCTTGATGCTTCTGGGGGGTCTTTGCGGGGCCCCTCGTGTGCTTCTGGGGCTTCTTTTTTCACGACTCATCTGAGCCTCTGCTGGCACCGACGGGAGCGCACGGGCACAAGTCCACGCTCGGGGGAACGTCGGCACGGCTAGAGGTTCAACATCTACCAAACGCAACCTGTCAACTCATACCCTGACATGCTCCTGGTCGATTTTAACCCCCTTGCCCACCGCCGAACTGGGACTGCGACGTTGCGCGCAATCGTCGTGAAAAACGATGCTATAACACCAAACCAACCTGGCGAACTACCCAACGATATGCAATTGTGAGTACCGCAAGTGTGGGTATCGTCTTCCGTGGAGCTCCCTCTGGGGCCACGAAACGCTGTACTGGGCGGGGGAACCGCATGCGCGTTCCGCGACTTGGACCTTCGATTGAACTACCTATGGGGCTACGAAGCGCTGCACTGGACGCAAGAACCGCATGCGAGTTCCGCCACTGGGACATTCGGTGGAGCTCCCTGTGGGGCCACGAGACGCTGCTCTGGGCGCAGGAAACGCATGCGGACTGCGCCACTGGGACCTGCGAGTGAGCTCCCGCTGGGGCCACGAAGCGCTGTATATGGCGCAGGACCAGCATGCGGACCGTGCCACTGGGACATTCGGTGGAACCCCCTATGGGATCACGAAACGCTGCGCTGGGCGCAGGGACCGCATGCGGACTGCGCCACTGGGACCGTCGGTGGAGCTCCCTCTGGGGCAACGAAACGCTGATCTGGGCGCAGAAGTAGCATGCGGACTGCGCCACTGCAACTTTCGGTGCAGCTCCGTCTGGGTCCACGACGTGCTGCATTGGGCACAAGTCCCGCATGCGGGCTGCGCCACTGGGACCTTCGGTGGAGCCCCCTCTGGGCCACGAAATGCCATATTGGGCGCAAGAACCGCATGCGGGCTGCGCCCCTGGGACCTTCGGTGGAGCTCCGCCTGGGGCAACTAAACGTTGTACTGGGCGCAGGAACCGCATGTGAATTGCGCCACTGTGACCTTCGGTGGCGCTCCCATAAAGGCCACGAAATGCTGTACTGGGCGCACGAGCCGCATGCAGACTGCGCCACTGTGACCTTCGGTGGAGCTCCCACTGGGACCACGAAGCGCTGTACAGGGCGCATGAGCCGCATGCGGACTGTGCCCCTGGGACCTTCGGTGGAGCTCCTTCTGGGGCCACGAAGCGCTGTACAGGGCGCAAGAACCGCATGCGGACTGCGCCACTGGGACCTTCGGTGGAGCTCCTTCTGGGGCCACGAAGCGCTGTATAGGGCGCAAGAACCGCATGCAGACTACACCATTGGGACCTTCGGTGGAGCTCCTCCCATGGGCTACGAAGCGCTGCGCTGGGCGCAGAAATCGAATGCGGCCCGCGCCACTGGGACCTTCGGTGAAGCTCCCTGTGGGGCCACGAAACGCTGCACTGGGCGCAGGAACCGCACGGACTGCGCCACTGGGACCTTCGGTGGAACGCCCCCTGGCCCCTGGGGCCACGAAGCGCGGCACTGGGCGCAGAAGCTACGCCGACCGCGCCACTGGGACAACGCTGCACTGGGCGCAGAAACCGTTTGCAGACTGCGCCACTGGGGCCTTCGGTGGAGCTCCCTCTGGGCCCACGAGGCGCTGTGCTGGGCGCAAGAACCGCATGCGGGCGGACTGCGGAGGCGGGACGGGGGGGGGGAAGAAGGGGGTGCGGAAAGATGAATGGGGAACGAGGGGCGCTGTCCCTTCAAAACGAAGACCCGCCACCACAAGATGTTTGGGAACTTGACCTAGCGAAAAACTCAACCATGTGAAGTTGTGGGTACAGCCGTTGTATGCACAACATTCGGTGGGGCTCCCGATGGGGCCACGAAACGTGTGAGGGGCGTGCCAACATGGGCGCGGCGGGCGCATGCGAAACGCTGGCATATGCGCCTTCGGTGGGGCTCCCTGTGGGGCCACGAAACGTGTAAGGGGTGTGCCAAACAAAATCGGCGCGGTGGGCGCATGCGAGCGCTGGCATTTGGGCCTTCGGTCGGGCTCCATGCGGGGCCACGAAACGTGTGAGGGGTGTGCCAAAACGTGCACAGTGGGCACATGCGAGCGCTGGCATTTGGGCCTTCGGTGGGTTCCCTTTGTGGCCCCGAAACGTGTGAGGGGTGTGCAAACATGGGAACGGTGGGAGCATGCGAACGCTGGCATTGGGCCTTCGGCAAGGTTCCCTATGGGGCCACGAAACGTGTGACGGGTGTGCCAAAAATGAATGCGGTGGGCGCATGCGAAAGCTGCCATTTGGGCCTTCGGCAAGGTTCCCTATGGGGCCACGAAACGTATTAGGAGCTTGCCAAAATTGGCGCGGTGGGCGCATGCGAACGCTGGCATCGAAAGGTGGGGGGTGTGCCAAAATGGGCGCGGTGGGCGCATGCGAACGCTGGCATGTTGGCCTTCGGTGGGGCTCCCTGTGGGACCGCGAAACGTATGAGGGGTGTGCCAAAATGGGTGCTGTGGGCGCATGCGAACGCTGGCGTTTGGGTTTTCGGTGGGTTCCCATATGGAGCCACGAAGCGTGACGGGTGTGCCAAAATATGCGCGGTGAGCGCATGCGAATACTGGCATCTGGGCCTTCGGTGTGGCTCCCTGTGGGGCCACGAAACGCGTGAGGGACGTGCAAAATGAGCGCGGTGGGCGCGTGCGAACGCGGGCACTTGGGCCTTTGGTAGGGATGCCCGTGGGGCCACGAAGCAAATGGAGGAGTGAGCCAAAATGTGCAATGGGCTCAAGCGAGCGCTAGAATTTGAGCCTCCGGCAGGGTTCCCTATGGAGCCCCGGAACGTGCGAGGGCGTGCCACAATGAGTGCGTGGGCGCATGAAAACGCTGGCATGTGGATCTTCGGTAACGCTTCGTATGGAGCCACGAAGCGTGTGAGGGGTGTGCCAAAGTGGGTGCGGTGGGCGGATGCGAACGCTGGCGTTCGGGCCTTCGGTAGGGTGCCTGTGGGGCCACGAAACGTGTGAGGCGTGTGTGCCAAAATGGGCGCGGTGTGCGCATGCGAACGCTAGCATGTTGACCTTCGGTGGGGCTTCTTTTGGGGCACGAAGCGTATGAGGGGTGTGCCAGAATGGGTGCGGTGTGCGCATGCGAACGCTGGCATGTTGACCCTCGGTGGGGCTCCCTGTGGGGCCACGATAAATGTGAGGGGTGCCAAAGTGGGTGCTGTGGGCGCATGCGAACGATTGCATTTGGGCCTTGTGTGGGGCTCCCTATGGAGCCCCCGAAACGTGTGAGGGGCGTGCCAAAATGAATGCAGTGGGCCTTCTGTGGAGCTTCCTATGGGGCCACGAAGCGTGAGGATTTGCTGAAACGGGTGATGACGACGATGATGATGATGATGATGATGATGATGATGATGATGGTGATGGTGATGGTGGTGGTAGTGATGACGATGCTGATGATGATGATGATGATGAGGATGATGATGATGATGTGGACGACTCCGTGGCCAGACGATTCTTTTTGCGCAAAGGGGCGCCAGGCGAGGACGCGAAATCTGATGCCGCAGGGGCCAGCACCAGGCCA